GGCTAGAGTGCAGGTGGTGTGATCACAGCTCACTGCAGCCTCAAATTTCAGGGCTTAAGACACCCTCCAACCTCAGCCTCCTGAGTAGCTGGGACCACAGGTGTGTGGCCATGACACCCAGGTAACTAAAAACAAAAATTTTAGAGACGAGGTTTTGCTGTGTTGCCCAGGCTGATCTTGAACTCCTGGGTTCAAGCAATCCTCCTGCCTCAGACTTCCCAGAGTGTTGGGATTACAGCCATGAGCCACCACGCCCAGCCTGGGACTGATTTTGTTGAAAGACATGTGATAGTAAGAGCTGGCCTGAGGTTATGAGGGATTAGAGCCCCAATGATGTTGGGTTGTACCACCAATGGGAAGCCATCAAACCAAAACTAGGTATTTCTGGAGTAGAAACAACAACAACAAAACTCTACGAGATAGCAACTGAGACCAAATATACAGTAATTTTGGCATCATGAGAATCATAGAGAGGAAAAAGGAAACAAAAATATCTGAAACAAAGTTTAAAATTGGCCAGTGGTGAGTGGCAATAGGTCTGTTTCATCAGTCCCAGTCAGCTCAGGGGTTATGCTGGGAAGAAGCAATAGGTGATTTATTGAAAATGCAGACCCTGCTGCCTCCTCTGTTAATTCTGCTGTGAGGCCAAAACTAGAGTTGCCATTTTTATATCCTTTGTTTATATCTTGGGTAAAATTACGATGGGATGGGGGGAGGATTTCTGGAGTACTCATCAAGCTCAATGCCACAGGGAGGCAAGTGTACTCCCTTCTGCTGCTAGGGCAACAATGAACAGCGCAAAGAATAGCTCAGGGAGAACAAAAATCTCAAGCTTCCCTAGGACCTATTTAGACGGTGTGTTCCTGGAAAGACAGTATGTGTTTTTCAACTTTATATCCCAGTATCTAGGACGATACTTAACATACTGTAAGGGTTTTAATAAGTGATTACTAGGTGGCCTGTTGGATAAAAGCACATCTCATCTGAAAAAGTTCTACATTCTCTTTCACTGGACAATTTTAGACACTAGATCATAAAATGAGGAATCAACAGTGAAAATGTCACCACTGGGAAACAAAGCTTGGCTTCTCATCCCTCACCATGAGTATCACATTGGTAAGAGCTACCGTTTATTGATGAGCAGGAATTCTAGAAATATTCTACCTAATTCTCAAGATAGATCTGATTGGCTTTATTTTACTGGTAAGTAAATCTAGGTTAAATGACTTGGCCAAGGTCAAAGAACTACCAAGTGGTCAAGTCAAGAATCCATCCTGGAAGTGCCCAGCTCTAAAGCCCGACCTCTCTCTGCCAAGGAGCTTCCAAGCTCTACTTTAGGGAGATGGTGACTGGCAGGCAAGCCTAGGTCTTCAGGCCAATTCGATGGCCTTCTCTGACCTCACCTGACTGCCACTGAGGGACCAGCTCATTTATCTACCTCAGTGCAGGAAACCAGGCCATCTCTATTGTACTGTGCATGTATCTGTTTCTAGTGCTCTAAGTACATACATTCTAAAACTGAAAATTTTATTTTATTTATTTTTGTTTTAGAGACAGGATCTCATTCTGTTGCCTAGGCTGCAGTACAGTGGCACAATCATAGCTCACTGCAGTCTTGAACTCCCAGACTCAAGGGATCCTCCTGCCTTAGCCTCCTGAGTAGCTAGGAATACAGGGGTGTGCCACCACACCCAGCTAATTCTTTTAGTTTTTGTAGAGAGAGGGTCTTGCTATGTTACTCAGGCTGGTCTTTAACTCCTGGCCTCAAGTGACCCTCCCACCGTGGTCTCCCAAAGTGCTGACATTACAAGTGTGAATCATTGTGCCCCAATCTGAAAATTTTATTTTAAAGGTGAATACAGAATCAAGTTCACAATTAATAAGGAATTTCTCCCATCACTTTTCTTTTCCAACACGAGCCATTTAACCAGACTACCAGATTTCAAAGATTCCCCACCACACCCAGCAAGGGCCTTCCTCCTTCATAGAAGGGAGAAGCATTTATTAATTATTGACTGATTGGTTACTGCTCTTTAAAATGCCAGGTGGTAGCTTAATGGAGCAAAGAAAATGGCACTAAGATAAGAGAAAGACAAGATGGTTCCTTTAGGCTGACAGGAAGCTTGTTTTTTGTTTTGTTTTGTTTTTGAGATAGAGTCTCGCTCTGTCACCCAGGATGGAGTGCAGTGGTGTGATCTCGGCTAACTGCAACCTTTGCCTCCTGGGTTCAAGCGATTCTCCTGCTTCAGCCTCCCAAGTCGTTGGTACTACAGGCATGTGCCATCATGCCAGCTAATTTTTGTATTTTTAGTAGAGATGGGTTTTCACCATGTTGGCCAGGCTGGTCTTTAACTCCCGACCGCAAGTGATCCACCCACCTTGGCCTCTCAAAGTGCCTTGGATTACAAGCACGAGCCATTGCACCTGGCCTCTTTGTCTATTTTATATAACAGAGATGGAAATACTTACTTTGAATAGTTTTCTAAAATGGGATATAGAGCTCAAAAGTTAAAAATAAAGCTCATTTTTAAACACAATAGTTAAATTACAATTTTTATATAAATTAGCTTACTGAATACATTATTTTGAATCTGATCTAAATATATATATTAAAATGAAGTGTTTTAAGGTAAACAGTAACAAAACCCAGAGATGCTTGCTAATAATGGTGACTAGCATGTGTCATTTTCATTCTAAAATAAAATATACACTAAAATCATTGATCATCTTAGGATCTCTGAGCAGTAAGTAATATTTCATCATATTTATCTTTTAACAACTAGAGGAAACAGTTTTTTTCAGTGTTAGGTAGAAAATGGTATTATTAGAAATTCTTAAAAGTACTGTTCATTAAAGTGGTTATTTTCTTATTTTTGCATTTTGAATATTCAGATGTGGCCCAATGAATATTCATCACTTGTGTATATACAATATATACACATAAACATCTTAAATCATTGCCTTTTTCAATTTTTGTCTTTAAAAACATGTCCTACTTAATTAATTGGTTTATTTATTTTGAGACAAGGTCTGGCTCTGTTGCTCAGGCTGGAGTGCAGTGGCATGGCTCACTGCAGCCTCCACCTCCTGGGCTCAAGCATCCTCCCACCTCAGCCTCCCAAGTAGCTGGGATTACAAGGCACATGCCACTGCAGCTGGCTAATTTTTTCTATTTTTAGTAGAGATGGGGTTTCACCACATTGCTCAAACTGGTCTCAAACTCCTGAGTTCAAGAAATCTGCCTGCCCTGGCCTCCCAAAGTGTTGGGATTACAGGCATGAGCCACCCCACCTGGCCAATATTTTTTCTTCCTAAAAGAAATTCCACCTCTTAATTTTCTTCCAGAGAAACACACACACACACACACACACACACACACACACACACACACACACAAATCCACTTCTAAAAATGCTGTCCTTTAGACTTTAAAGATTCTCAGGAGAAACGTGAGAGATACTGTCAGAAGAACAAAATGAGGCCCATCTGTGAGGAGAGACGCTCTAGAGCTCAGATCTGCAAGGGAGATGTCAAAATCACGTGCTTTCAAAGCACTAATGAACAGAAACAAAGCCTGTGGCACAAAACCTGGCCATGTACTTTTCCCCTGCAGCCTAGAAGTCCAGAACAAAAACCCATTTTTGTTTCAACATAAAATGTTTAAAAAACCTCCTCTGTATTACAACTAGAGAGGAATGAGCTTTACTTTCCAACAAAAGTACAGGAATTAAAAAGAACTCTTTCTAGGGTATGGACAATTTAGTTTGCATATAAGAGTGGTTAGTCATTTAGGCTCTCACTGCTTATGTACTTGGACCCTGCAGTGACCTTTACTCATTTATCTGGCCCTACCTGTCATTCTGAAGTTTTGCATTTGAATAATAAGATAGCTGGGAATGGTGGGTGTGGAAAATTATATTTTCCAAATTTGGCCAGTTCATTGTCAAGAAGTGGAGCTAATTCCCCTTTCCTTGAAGCTTGAGCTGGTCTTATGACTTGCCTCTAACTAACAGAATATAGTGAAGTGAGACTGGATACCTTCCAAAGCCAGATCAGGAAAGGCCATATGCTTTTACCTGGTTCTCTAGGGACATTTGCTCTGGGAGAAGTCAGCCATCATGTAAGAAGACTGATGATTCTGGGGCCACCATGTTGAAGAGGTCACATACAGGTAGTTTGTTGGACAGCCAGAGCTGAGCCCAGCCTCTGAGCCATCCCTACCAGGACACCAGACATGTTAGAGAGGCTATCTTGGACCCTCCAAAGTAGGCTATTTGTCATCTGAATAACACTGAGTGACCTCAGTCAACCTCACGAAGAGTGGAAGAATCACCTAGCTGAGTCCTGACTAAATCCCCAACCTACAAAATCTGTAAGGTACAAAATATTGGCTGTTTTCAACCATTAAGTTTTGGGGAAGGTCACTGCACAGAAATGGTGACTAGAGCAGGGTCAACTAGGAGCTACTAAATGAGAGGTGAATGACCCAAAGCCCACAACTGAAAGGAAAGGAGGATGGAAGAAACCTTGCACCAGGTGTAGAACGCAGGACGATTTCTAGCAAAATGGCTTATCAGATGCCTTGACTAACTCTTCTACTGAAAAACAATTAAAATGCTAAACATAGCATCTAAAAGCTGCTTTAAATGTACTAAACCGCTGGGAAAAGAATAAAAAATACTGAAGAGGGAGACCCAGGCATCTCAGATCAACCTCCCCTTTTTTCTAAGACTGTAAGCTTCCCCTCTTCATTCCTAAGACCGTAAACCAAAGTCCTTTTCATATGTAATTCCTGAGACTGTAAACCGAGATCCTTTTCATATGTAATTCCTAAGATTGTAAACCGAAACCCTTTTCATATGTAATTCCTGAGACTGTAAACTGAGACCCTTTTCATATGTTAAGCTATAAACCTAGATTCTTCCACGTGTAACATCTGAAGTATAAGCCTATATAAAGAAGGAACCTTCCTTTGTTAGGTGAGCTTGGCTGTTAGGCAACTATGCCACCTTGCTCCCGGCCGAATAAACTTATTCCTCCTGTATTCGGTGTCCGAGAGATCCATTTCCCACGGCCGCTCCTGCTACAATACATTGACAAGAATGAGGAAAAATATATCGTGCCCAGTGAAATAAGGTAAGTGAGCAACAAAACTGGCTTTGACCTTGAGGGCATTTGTATTAAATCTAGTGACTTTGAGCAGTCATCTTTATGACTTGGTAAAATTCAGAAGACAGACAAAAGCCACCCAGGTCTAATAAATAATTCTCTCTCCATAAGTTGGGGACCAAATGGGATACTTTCAGTGCAAGGGTAAGCTAGAATATCTGACCCTTCAATGACAAACAAAAAATTGCAAGTTGGTGCTTAGAAAGTAAGGGGATAGGCAGGGAGGAATGAAATGTACCCTGAACATTTTAAGCCATGAGTTAGATATCATAGAGGTCTTCTGCTTCAATTCATAGTACTAAGGTCGTCTAAAATAATGCACGTGGATTATCTAGTTTAAATGATATTTGAAAAAACAAACTTTACAACGGAAAGCATATCTTGAGATAGAGAGAGCAGCATAACAAGTTTCATCAAGAAAATGTAGGCACTCTAAACACATATATCTAATGACACACCTCACAATAAATGAAGCGAAATTGACAGAATTATAAGGAGAAGTTAAAACAAACACACATAGTGGGAGATTTTACATGTCTTGTTTGTTATCTGATGGATCAAACAGACTAAAAAATAACTAAGGCCACAGAAATCTGAATAGAACTAACAAAATTGGTCTGACAGGAAAATTTGCACACCCTCAAACTGTAGAACACATATTGTTTTCAAGGTTAGATGAGACATTTATAATTACTGACTACATACTTTAAGAATCCCAATACTTAAGGCCACAACCCAGACCAATGAGATCAGGATCTCTAGAGATGCGACCCAGGCATCCACCTTCTTCAAGATCTGTAGGTGATTCCAATGTGTAGCCAAGGTTGCAAATCGCTGACACAGAGTCATTTCTAACCTTCAATGCTTGTATCAGAAAGGAAGGAAAGATGAAAATGAAGGAACTGGAGAGTAGTCTATCTTAGGTTAGAACAGAACAGTCAATAAAGCCCCAGAAATTAGGGAGAAGAAGAGAAAAGAGCAAATAATAACATAGAAAACAAACACATAATACAGATGACCAAGAAAACTGAATGCATATCTTATACCTTCCCCAAAACACAACTCCATGTAAATAAAAAGTTAAATGTCAAAAGCAAAACTATAAACACTTTAGAAGACAACATATGAGAATATATCTATCATTTTAGTATGCAAAGAATTTTTAAAAATAGAAACAAAATCATAAGCCATGAAGAAAAAGGATGATAAATTCAACTGTATTAAGTTAAGAATCTTGTTAAATCAATATTTGCAATATATATATATATAACTGGAATAATGAAGAACTCGTATGAATCAGAAGAAATTGACAATCCAAAAGAAAATGAGCAAAAGGCACTTCAGTGGAGTGGAATCCAAATGACCAACGGGCATATGAAACTATGCTCAACCTCATTCATAATGAGTAAAAGCACAATGAGCTATGACTTTGTAGCTTCCTCAGCCAAGGCTCTCCCTCCCGTCCTCAAGGGACTACTCTTTGCCTCTTCCCCATAAGCACAGACCTCCTACTCCATAATTTTGCCCACTCTATCAGTTACTGACTTTTCCTCCTATATGTTCAAACTCTCCATTTCTTTTGACTCCTTCACAGCATAAAAAATTGCTTGAGTATTTCCCATAAATTTAAAAAATATCACTCCTTTGATACCCTATCTCAGCTTCCAAATGTATGTACCCAAACTCATGAACCTTCACAATTACCAGCCATATGTTGAACGACTGCCTTATCATACCGCTACCTTTCAGAGCCCAAATTCTCAGGACTGTGTTTGATCCCGTTGTTTCCACCACAGGCTTCCACCCTTCAGGCCACCAAAATGCTTCCTCTCACCATGTCACTGCACACACGTGGCCGTCCTCCCTGACACAGTCCTTCTAGGCTGCTGTGCTACCAGTTTCTCCTCTTTCCCCATGTCACAGATGTTTCTTCTCAATATTCTTCTGCTGCTTCTTCCTAAAAAGTCCCTGGAGTGCTTTTCTCAGCCTCCTTCTCTTCTATTCTTGTTTTGAACATTCTTCCTTTGTGATCTTATTCCTTCTTACTTTTCATGTCTACTTATGAACTAAGGATTTCTAATCTACATCTCCAGTATGTGCTTGATACGTAGTAGGTACTTTAAATCATTAAGCTTCCTATTAAAAAGAGTCAGCACAGAGTGTGATTACGTGTGATTAAATGCCTAATTTTAGCTAAGATGCTGCATGTTTAAGCAAAAGTACTTACAATTAAAAAAAAAAGACTGGGTATAGCATGAGTTTATTCAATACCAGATTTTGCTAAGAGAGAAAAATTAGAACAATTTTAAAATGGCTGGCACAAATCTTTGCCTATGGAACCATGGTACTCACAAGGCAGAAGTCTTTCAACATTAATAGAACGCACTGTATATTTCATTTTTCATGAATTGTGTGCAATGATTTAGATTAGGGGTTGGTAAATCATGACTTGCAGGCCAAATCTGGCCCACCATCTGTTTTTGTAGATAAAGTTTTATTGGAACATATACATGTCCATTTAATTACACATTGTCTGTGGCTGTTTTCATGCTACCGTGGCAGAACTGGGCAGTTGCAGCAAAGATTCTACGGTCCACACAGCCAAAACTATTTGGTGTCTTGTCATTTCTATTAAAAGTGTGCCAGACTTGACAAAGATCAAAACTTTCTATTGTTAACATATTCCTTTAAAATGGTAAGTTGTGTAAGTTATATTTTCTAAAGGAAGGATAAATCCTAGATGTGAGAAAGCCCTCCCCATCTAGGTATAAAAGCAGTAGGGTATGTAATAAATAAGAACTACTTTTCTCTGAGACTTAGTTGAAAGAACTACATTGTTATCACTAAATGTATCACTTGAGTGGTTTAAATAATCAGAGGTAGAAAACGGTTGTAATATTTGGTAAGATCTCATCCCCTAAGATGACTTAAGTAGGAGAAATATGGGTATTGGAGCTTCCAGAAAAGCAATACAATCAACACAAAAGCCACTGGGATTCTTGCCTTGTCTGCCGGTGTTAACCTGGCCCAGGGCTTGTCTGCTCGGCGGTCATAGTCGGGAGAATCCGTGACTTCTACGTACTCGTTAAATCGCAGGATCCTTCGAGCTTGTAGCTCTGCCACTGTGGGTCTCAGGCTGAGCTGCAGGAGGACAAAGAAAAAGGCAGAGTTCAGTAAACCACTTACAGCCTCATGGTGGCAAGTTTTCTATAGAGAACACTTCAAAGTTATGGTTAAATAAGGTCACTTTCAGGTTAACGAAAAAGAAAAAAAGAAAAAAGGCAACAGCATCTTGGGAATTTTTAATGAGAACTAGAAAGCAGTGTGCCCTAATTTTTGAGACTATAAAAAATCATCATTTTAGGTAGGTCACAGTCTTTGGCAACCACCTGCATTATGCTATCTCCCCCAACTTGCCTGGCACTGTGATAAAGGTCTGTCTTCCCTGACGCAAGGAACATGCAATGTACAGACACAATAGTAACCCAGATAAGGAATGGCTGATTTGGTGATTGAAGTAGCAAGACAAAAGTCATGGAATTTTTAGAAATGAAAAGAAAAACCTGTTCCTATAATATCCTAAAATTGTTTCCATTTAGAAATAGAAAGAAAAAGCTGTTCCTATAATGGAAAGAAAAACCTGTTCCCATACATTCAGAAATGCACAAAGTTATGACATAGAAAGGCTCCAATAAAGGGTGCGCCTATAGCACCACTGTCCTTAAGCTATTCATAATAAGGATAAGACCCCAATCGGACACATGCCCTTGGCCAGAAAAGCCAATGTACAAGAATGGGGAGGAGATAGTTGATGGAGAACTGTACTTCCTTGAGGCCATCACTGCTTAAAATCAACTCCAACCTTAAAGATCCTTCTAACAACTTGGGTTCCTTTTTGTGGTCTTTTTCAAACTCAGATTTGTAATTACATTGCTTTTCTCTCTGAGTCTGTTCTCAAACTGAAGAATAAGGCTGAAATGATTCTAACAGGTGAAAGAAAGCTGGCCCCTGGTAAACATGCATCATCTACTCTCTGCTACTGAGGTTCACTCTCTTTTTGGCCTTTCTTAGTTGGGTGGTTTCATATAGTTATCTCCAGAGAGGTAGACTTAGACCTCTATGTTAGCCATAGGGCCCATTTTCATATCTTTCTCTTATATGTACTCTGTATACAGCCAGACTACCCATCATCTAAGTGGTCCTCTTTGGAGATATCACTTATTTATTTAAACAAAGTGGGGATCTCTCTATGTTGCCCATGCTGGTCTTGAACTCCTGGGCTAAAGCAATTCTCCCATCTCAGCCTCCCAAAGTGCTGGGGTTTCAGGTATAAGCCACTGCATCTGTCCAGAAATATTCCTTATTTTGCACTGGGTCTATATCCTGTAGTCATTAACAGCCCTTTCCTGTCAATTTCCTCCTGAACTAAGCCAATATTCGAATATTCAAAGCACTCAAGGACTTTTAGAAGGCCTAGACCCATACCCTGAGCCCATTTGAGCTGGAATGTCCCAACTATGGCTCTCTCTATCTTCATAGAGCCCTGGTAGGCAATGGACAGGAGAGAGAATAATCTAATGATCTGTTATACTGTAGTTGCTGCCCAATCTATATCGCTAGCTTCTTGTTGCCACTTTGGGGCAGGTGGAAATAAGGAGGTAGAGAAGCCATTGCTCCTGAGGACTGGCTAGAAGGAAAGTGGCCAATGTCAACAAAGGTTAGAAATTCTCCATCCAGTCTGTCTTCAGGACTGTGCCAATCATAAGGTAGCTACCAGTGCTACAGGCTGACCTGCACCTACATGCTTCTGTTGCAGACTCCCTGGCCAGCCCACAAAAATGTGGGTCAGGTTGCACTTCATGGAGATGTCATGTTTTAGTCACTTTATTCTTTTTTAGGTGCAAAAGGTATGTCTGAAGAATTATTAGGATTTATAATGAAACATAAACTCTGATGGTGCTTAATTT